TGGTTCATCTTAACAACATAAATAAACATAAAAACCACATATACACAATAATACGTATATTGGTCCACCTAGTCGTTGGAAAAGAAAAAGTAAAATGAAAGAAGTAAACAGAAAGAGAGACAGATAAAGGTTTCTCAACAAGCCTGTCTACTCTACTCTACCCTACCTTCAAACTTCGTGTCAGGGTTTTAAATTTAGCCACGAGAGTGCGTTCCAATCGTAAATGGAGTACGATAAACCGTAAGCTCTTGGAAAAAGATAGGCGTAAAGTCGACGTTCTTTAAACTCATCATACTGCTAGGAATCCCTTAACGTAGTTGCATCCAGTGTAACGAGATTCGACTCGCAATTGGTGTGTTTTGTTTCCCCCAGTGTGCATATGAAGTATTTTTTTGACCAAGGACGGGCTATAGTTGTTTCTTTCTATACATAGTCGTTATCGTTGTGTTTCGATTATTTTTTTGGTCATAAGTATCGTTGTTTTTGGTTGTGAAAAAAAAAAGAGGATAATTTTTTCTCTCTCGGAGAAATTTCATTTCTCATACGAGAAATTCAAGGTCGCCATTAAGCTATAATCAAACAAGGAACCCAACGAAGGAGTATCATCAATTCTTTTACAAGAATAGTAAGTATATTCTTTTCTCTTTTGCGTTATACACAATAGTTTGTGCATATTTACAGAGTTGGGATTTGCCAATCGTAGATAGAAGAATTATCTGTGACATTGTAGAATTATTATTACTATGTATCCTATTTACTTCCAATTGGATTCGTATGTGTTCGAACATTTAGTTGACACGCGGTTAATTTCAAGGCCAGCAGACGTGGACATATTGGCCGCGTGAACTCTAAGTGCTATTCAATTCCTCTGATTATTATATTTTCTAACTATTCTATCAAATTGTACCGACAGATAGGTTTTTTTTTGTCAACTTATTTTTCTCGTTTATCTTCGAGAGATCGATTCGATGAAAGATATTATTCGCAGATGTAATAGAAACAAACCTGCATTACTTGGATTTTGTGCTTGGCATGTCGCGCGAAACCGCTTGTTGTTCCCTTTTCCGTTATATAAGAAGCACGCTTCACGAATGTGCCATAACACGGCCATCTTTAATGACATCACAAGTGGCGCGCTATTTAAATTTTACTTTAACCGACAATTCTCTTTTTCTTTTTTTTTTCTTTCACGTTGTTCGATTATTTTAATAATCGAAATAAACACTCATCAAAATTATTACTGCGTTCAACCAACACATACATATTTGCGTAGGTTTCAATTTTGTTCAAAAGGAAATAATATTTAATTTCATGTGTCTCACATCAAAATCACTTGGAACAAATCATCGCGATAATTAACATCTTCTATTTTAGATCTAACGTTGAATCATAGAATTTTTTTTTTTTTTTTGACGAATTAATCCTCGTGTAAAAAATAGATAAACTATATCGTGATTAAAAGAAGAAAAAAAGTATTATTCGTCGTAAATTTTTTCGCGAATAAGAAAGAAGAGACGAAGGAACCATATATCTTCTTAGCACGAGCAAACGACGTTACAACACAATTGTACTTAACTCTGACAATCGATCCGACCATGGCCTAAGTTGACAGCAATTTAAAATCGTTTCGACTACTTCGAAGCACGTAGAAAATACTCGGATTAGAGATTTTTTTTCTCGCAAACAGATCATCCCGCGCGGATTATCCTTTATATTATTTTGCCAAACATTTATATATACGAGTTTCCATCTTATTGTTAACTATCTATTTATAAATGATGGACGAATATATAAAACTTCTTACGAAAAATCAAGACAAAGCGTATTTTCAGGAAGAAGAATATAAAAAACAAAGAACAAAAAATGTCAAATACCACTGCAAGGAGTAACAAGGAATGTAAAATGGAATTGGTGAGAAGAACTTGGACACCTAAACCAATACTAGATCCAGAAATAACGAAAGATCTTCCCACGATTGACGCATATGTGGGTATACTGAAGGAAAAGAAGAATATTTCAGCAGCTATTAAAAGCATATCAACTATTTTGCCATATTTCGATCACTTGAAACGTTGCTCGGCCAATAAAATTCTTCTGGCACCCGTGAAATCGTTCGATTTAAATGACGATAATGTATCGAATCAGAATAGATTAAAATCATTTCTAAAAGATAACAAATTTGATCTGTCTATTTTAGAAGATGATTTTCGAGTTATCAAAGTTCCAGAAACCAGTGCAAAATCTAAAACACAAGCTGCACGTGCATCGAAGATTTGGCCATTGAGATTTCATCCTGATCCTTTTCTCGAGGCTGTGATAGATGGTTCGATTTTCAACGAGGATCAATTAGAAGGAATCGAAAAGTACATGAACGTTGCTATAACAGCAGCTAAATTGGAAGCTATTGGTAACGATAATTGTAATGGTAGTGCGGTAATAGTAGATCCTGAGAACGATGGTAGAATACTTGCTATAGCTGCATCAAAAATTGATCAACATCCAATGTGGCACGCCTCTATGTTAGCCATAGATTTGGTAGCTAAATTACACGGGGGTGGTGCTTGGAAATTATATTCGAATGAAGACATCATTGAAGTAAGAGAAGCTAAAAAGAATGACAATAATTTTGAGAAAAGAATGAAAATGATTAAAAGAAAGTACGAGGAACATGCACCACTTTGTTATCCAAAAACATTGTCCTCCAACGTAAAAATTCCAGCTGTTGAATCTTTCAATGCTAAATGGAAATTACAAGGTCGACGAAATAACGGTACTACAAAAGCAAATATCAATGTGAATTTAAATTCGAGTGAAAAATCTGGCCCATATTTATGTACCGGGTGTTGGGTCTTTTTACTGATGGAACCATGCCCAATGTGTGCAATGGCATTACTTCATTCCAGAGTAGGAAAAATATTTTACGGCGTGTCCAACGAGAAAACAGGTGTCTTAGGATCCAATGGGATTTTACACGCGGTTCCAGGACTTAATCATAGATATCAAGTTTGGAGTGGAATATTGGAAGAAACTTGTAAAGAGGTGTCCAAAGAAATTCAACGAAAGAACGTTGACGAATCACTTGTTCAAATTTGACTGACAATATTTTATCGAATATAATAAATCATAATGATTAATTAAAACCACGATGAGAGATAATAATACGATAGCAAGTGCAAGTAAATGAGACTAAAAAAAAAAAAAGAAGAAACGTGTTTTGTGCACAATCGAGTTGAGACCAATAATATAAGAATGACCTTGGTGCATTTGTATAATTTACAACGATTTTTATTTTTATTTTTTTTTTTTTCCGAACCCTCAACATCTGCTCTTATTTCCTTCTTTTTTTTCTTTATATTTTTCTTCTTCTGTAGATGAGGAGTACGTACATTGCATTAACATTTGTCTGCTTGCTTTCTTGTACAATGAAGCTTTGTATTTTCACGATTATACAGAAATTCTTACTTTTCTATTGTGTTTAAATTCGTTTCGTCTATATATCACCGACTTTGCATACTTTGTTAATAATAAAGTAACGAACGTGTCAAAGAAACACAAGATAAATCATTTTTCTTACGCCTTTCCACATGTTATTACTTATTTTCGCTATAGTACCATCATAAACACGTGTAACGATACGATGTACAGTAATGCTATTACGTGAGATGCAACTGAAATTAAATCTTAGAAATGTTGGCGGTGAGGGAAGGNTGATATATATGAATTCGATAATCGTAAAATGACAATTTCTTTAAGATGGAAAGAACCATTACCACCTAATGGAGAATTAGATCATTATATTGTTAGTAATTGGTACAAATATTTATATTTTTCATGGTTTTCTGATTCAAATAACATGTATATATATGCTAATGAATTTTGTGTACTTTGGGAAAATTACATCTGTTCAAAAATCGTATTACCGAGAAATATATATTCTACTATAACTGTACGTATAAAATATTATTTATTAGGTTGTTCGAGAAGTAATTTCGTTTTTTCCCGACAGAGGATTTAATTGTATCTTGTTGCACCCAAAAAGTCCAATTGATTCTACGCTGTAGTTTTTGATTGGTGTCCTTTTAAATATGGTGAGCAATAAACAGCATTGTCGCCGAATTTTACTTTTTTCCCTATAGCAAAGGTGAAAATGCTGTTCAAGCTAGAAAAAAATTAACCGATGTGTAAGAAAATGTGTTGACAGTATGCCAGTGCCAGAACTGGTTTGCAAAATTCCGATCAGGCAATTTTGATGTCGAAGATGCACCCACGTTCTGGAAGGTCGGTTAAAACTGATGAAGACACGATAAAGGCACCGGCACGATGATGCAAACAGGCGAAAAAAAACAGGTGAGATCGGCGAGAGGTTAAATTTATCAAAATCAACCGTTTATGACCACTTTAAAGGCCTGGGTTTAACCTCGAAGATCGGTATATGGGTTCCCCATATTCTCACGGAGAGAAGTTTGTGTCGTCGCATTAACGTCTGTGATTTATTTCTCAAACGTCACAAAAATGATTCATTTTTGTAATGCAATATTACTAGAGACGAAAAATTGGTTGTATATAACAATGTCAAACGTAAGAGATCATGCAGCAAAATAGATGAACTATCTCAAAGCTATTTGAAAGCCAATATCCGTCAAAAATAGGAGATGCTGTTTGTTCGGTGGGATTTTAAAGATATCGTTTCTTTGAGCTTTCACCGGATAAAAAAAAAATTAATTAATATGGAAGTCTACTGTCATCACACCCACAATATTCTCCAGATCTGGCACCTTCGGATTATTATTTGTTCCGATCACTGCAAAATCTTTTAGACGGAAAAACCTTCACTTAAAATGAGGAGGTCAAAAACCATCTCGATCAGTTTATTGACAGCAAAGTGCAAAACTTTTATGAGCGTGGAATCATGATACTACCAGAAAGATGGCAAAAAAAATTGAACCGGAATTGCCAATATATAATTTAATAAAATATTTGTTCTTTATATATAAATTGGCTTTTATTTCACAAAAATAAGACGAAATTACTTTCCGAACAACCCAATACATTAATAAATAAATATTTAGTAGAAGAAATGTTATACATACAATTTTATAGGTAACGGGATATAACAAAAATGTTAGCTATCCTGGAGAATCATCGACAATTATTTACAATCCAGAAAAATTTGGTAATTACGTATATAATATAATAATAATAATAATAATAATAATAATAATAATAATAATAATAATAATAATAATAATAATAATAATAATAATAAAAATAATGTTTAACTTAATAAAAATGTGTGTTTCTTTTTTTAGCAACAAAATCAGATCCACCGAAAAATTTACAAATTAAAATTGACCATAAAGGTATAGTCATT